ATGAGCAAGCTGAAATTATTAACAATGTCAGTCTCTTCTCCATTGGTCATGCTGCCAATTAGCCCAGGGGTGAAAAACCTTTGTTTTCTTGATGTTGAGCTTCAATTAATATTGGAGACTGCAGTTCTTGACCTGCAGCAAATGCTTCAGGGCCTCCTCAGTTTTGGCAAGCTAGGTTTTGTTATCTTCATGACGCAAGTTGTTTTATGAGTTTTCCTCCAATCTTGATGCAACACTCCTCCTCATAAAGCCAAGTCCCAGCCTCCTGAATGATCTGTTCCACCTATAGACTGAAAAGATATGGAGACAGGATGTGTCCCTGACTTACTCTTTTTCTTATTTTGATCCAGGTAGTGGTTTTTTTTTCCATTCTGACGACTGTGTCCTGGTCCAAGTATACGTTTTGCATTGATACAGTCAAGTGTTCTGGGATTCTCATTCTTCTCAATATTAGCCACAATTTGTTGTGATCCACACTGTCAAATGCCTTTGCATACTCAATGAAACACAGATAGACTTTCCCCTGGTACTCTCTGCTTTCATTCAAGATCCATCTGACACTGGCTATGATGTACCAAGTGTCTAAACCCATCTTGCGCTTGTGGCAGTTCTCTGTCAATGTACTGTTCCAGTCGTTTTGAGATCATCTTCAGCAGGATCTTGATTGTGTGTGATATTAATGATGTCGTTTGATAGTTTCCGTACTTTTTCTGATCACCTTCTTTGGAATGGGAACAAATAAAGATCTTTTCTGGTGAGTTAGCCCGGTGGTTTTCTTGATACAACCTGGTGAGCACATCAAAAGCTGCATCTGTTTGTTGAAATATTCAACTGGTATTTCATTATTTCCTAGAACCTTGTTTTTGCCAAATCCTTCAGAACAACATGAACTTCTTCCTTCATCACCATTGCCTCTTGGTCATATGTCATTTCATGACATTCTTCTGTGTTAGCCAATTTTTTTGGCTACAGTGAATCTGTGTACTCCTTCCATCTTCTTTTGATGCTTCCTGGATTATTCAATATTCTGCCCATAACATCTTTAAGTATTGCAACTTGAGGCTTGAATTTGTTCTTTGGTTCCTTCAACTTAAAAAGTGCTGAGTACTTTTGGCCCTTCTGATTTTCAGATTCCAGCTCTTTGCATATTTCATTATTATACTTTACTTTGTCTTCCTTAGCCGCCCTTTGAAGTCTTCTGTTTAGCTCCTTAACTTCCTGATTTCTTCTCTTTGTTTTGGCTTCTTGGTGTCCTAGTGCAATATTCAGAGTCTCTTCTGACATCCATCTCAGTCTTCCTCCTTCCTTTTTATAATACCTTTGCATTCTTCTTGGATGATAATTTTTTAAATTGTTTTTATAGATGATATTCTTGATATCCTTCCACAGCTCATCTGGTGTTCATTCATTAATGTGCAAGGCTTCAAACATGTTCCTGAGATAATTTTTAAATTCAGGTGGGATAAACTCAGGATAAAATTTTTATTTTTGTGGATTTGATATACTTTTCTCTAGTTTCTGTTTGAACTTGAATAGAAGCAGTTGATAGTCTGTTCCACAATCAGCACCTGGCCTAGTTTTCCTAGCTGGTATTGAGCTTCTCCAAGGATTCATTCCACAGATGTAATCAGTCTAATTTCTGTGTAGACCATCAGGTGAAGTTGCTGTGTATTGCAATTGTTTGTGTTTCTTATAAAATGTATTCGTAATGAACTGGTCATTGATTACACAAAATGCTATCACATTCTGTTTCCAGCCTCATTTCTCTCACCACGTTCATGTTTTTCCAACTGCTGATCCTTTTTCCTTGTTCCCAACTTTGGAATTCTAGTGACTGGAAGGTGAATTATAGGCAAAATCACATACTAGGTCATCTGTTCCTCTTTCATTTGACAAGCTTCCATTTATAGCACTCACTTTGAGATGTTTACCTCTTTGCAACTAGCTCTGTAGAAGGTGTTTTTGTCTCCTCTCATTTCCTCACCCACTTCTTTTTTTTTTTAAAGCATGATATTTTTCTTTTTTATTGAGATTGTAAGTTTACAAAGAACTTGGATTTCCATTCATTCCTTGTTGCACAGCTTCCTCTATGCCCCACTCCCTCCGCCCCGCCCCCCCCCAGTTTGCTTTTTCCTTTGGAAAAAAAAGTTCTTTCATTTTTATACAGTCCCCCCCTTCTCCCACAAGACCACTTTACTATGCAGCTCTTATTGTGGACTCTTGTCATACCAATAATACCTAATCATATGTTCCTTTTATACAGTTCTCTCCCTCGTCTGTTTCAATGCTGTGTACATTGTTTATCCCCTCTTTTCTTAGATTCCCCTAACCCCCATCCAGTCCTATTTTATAAGAGGCATTATACAGTATTTGTCTTTTTTAAAAAAATTAATTTTAATGAAAGTTTATAGAGACTTAGAATTTCCAGTTGTTCATTGTTGCATTTTTCTGCCTGCCCATCCCCCCCCCAATTCACTCTTCTCCTTGAAAAGTAAAAGAAAAACTCTTTCATTGTTATACAATCCCTCCTCCCAAGTCCACTCCACTGTGCAGCCTTCATTCTGGACTCCTGTCATGACAATAATACCCATTCATATGTCTTTTTTAAACAGTTCTTGTCCTCATCTGCTTCAATGAAGAATCCATCATTAATCTCCTTCTCTGTCTTCCCTCAACCCTGATATCAGTTCCATTTTATAACAATGGCCCTATGCGGTATTTGTCCTTTTGTGACTGAGATATTTCACTCAGCATAGTGTCCTTCATGGTCACCCATTTTGTATAATATTTCATGAGTTCCTTGTTTTTCAGTGCTGCATAATATTTCAGCTTCTCTATCCATTCATTTACTGATGGGCACTTGGGTTGTTTCCAACTCTTTGCTATTGTGAACAAAGCAGCAATAAACATGGGTGTGCATATATCTTCTTGGGTGGCAGTTCTGGTTTCTTTAGGGTAATTCCCAGTAGCGGAATTGCTGGGTCAAATGGTATTTCTATTTGCAACTTTTTGAGAAAGCACCATACTGCTTTCCATAGTGGTTGCACCATTTTACACTCACACCAACAGTGAATAAGGGTTCCAGGTTCTCCACAACTTCACTAGTATTTGTTGTTTGCTGCTCTGTTGAATTTTGCTATTGTTACTGGAGTGACATGATATCTCATAGTTGTTTTGATTTGCATCTCTCTTAAAGCTAGGGATTTTGAACATTTCTTCGTGTGTTTGTCTGCCATCCGAATTTCTTCTTCAGTGAAGTGTCTGTTCATATCCTGTGCCCATTTTGTAATTGGGTTATTTACCTTTATCTTGTTGTGGCGCTTGAGTATTTTATAAATTTTAGATAAAAGTCCCTTATCAGACATGTCATTACCAGTATTTTTTCCCAGTCTGTGGCTTCCCTTTTTACCCTGTTGGAGATGTTTTTGGATGTGCATAGGGATTTTATTCTTAGACAGTCCCATTTATTTTATCCTCCCCTTGTTGTAGGTTTTTCAGGATGCTTGGAAGACTGTTCATGTTGTGGATTAGTGCTTCAAGGTTTTTTCCTCACTCACTTCTAATGAAAACGTTCTGAGGTGATTTTACTCCCTCAAGGCTAGATTTTTCTTGTCTTTTAAATGCAAATAGGATACATATTAAGTGTCAGAGGATAAGGAGCTTTTTAATGCATTGTCACTGTTTTTGAAATTTTTTTCTTTTTTTT